GCAGTTAAACTCTATCTAACGATATAATTTTTATATTTATTTGTAATACTTTTTCCGACATCATATTTTTGGGTGTTTGACTTTAACAGAGTCAAAATTGGTTTAATTGACCTTTCTCATAAAAGGTTCTCTCATTTAATTCATATCAATTATTCTCATGATTTATTTCAATAAATCATTACAAAGTTCACATCATAATTAATTTATTTATTTATTCTTGATTTGGGTCTGTACTCAGGTTCCCAATCAAGATCACACAAATAGTCCACATATTGGATTTATCTCAATTAGACTTATCCAGATTTTGATATTGGATATAAAAAAAATATTTCATATCGGCCCAAAGCCCAATAATAATCAAAACAAATTTGTTTAATCGAATAATTATTTAATAATAATTCTAGGATATGTTTCGGGGCGTTACAGGCGGTACCTTACCAACGGGAGATTTTTATTGATATTGGGGGTTGTACACGGTACATTATTTAGGCTAGGAAGTCATTAATGGAGCTTTTGAGCTCTTGAAGAAAAAGAAAAATACACACTATTCTAGAGACATAAAGGAAGTGGGCAGGGGGAGTGTAAAAATTGGTCTCCTCAAAATTGAGGGTAACCCCTTCTTTTATAGGGAGGAGGGGGGCATCTTCGGAGAAATATTCTTTTATTCTTTCATTTTACTAAACATGCTCGGTTTGATCATTCTTCGTAAATAATTGGAAAATGTGGGCCGAGCCACATATTATTTCCCATCAATAGCACTTTTAGTCATTATCTATTAGTCATTATTCAAGTAAATATTTTTCATTATTGGATATTATGGACATTATTAAGTGATATTTAGAAATAAAAGAATTTAAGTAATATTTAGGGAAATGACTTAAGTTTTAGTGGTATTTAGTGGAAATATTTCATAATGATATGCAGATGTTTAGTATTTCTATTATTAGAATGTTTTATTTACTTAATCACGTTAATTTCAGACGATTATTCGTATATTCGTAATAATATGGTTCTTTATATTTCCGATATGACATATTCTACAAACACCCAAAACACATTTTTTATACTTTTTCGATGAAAAATGTAAAGATATAATTTCATCTGTTCAAATGATGCAATCATGTCACCTTTTAATTTTTTTGTATAGCTTTGAATATAATTTTGTGTACTATGTATATATACTATTATTATTTATGAGTAATTTTTTTAATTTTACACCAAAACTTAAATAAGTTCTTTTAAAAACAATTCCAATAAAAAATGATACTCCGTATATAAAAAATAAATAAGATGAAAACAAAATTACTGGGGTAACATTTACTACTCCGCAGAAAACAAATCCAAATTGAGTATTCTCAACAATCAAATACTGGTAAACGTTAATAACACTCAATCGGTTTCACAGGCAAAGCAGCGGGGATAGCTCAGTTGGGAGAGCGTCACACTGAAGATCTGAAAGTCGCGTGTTCGATCCACGCTCACCGCATTTTTTTCCCAGTCTTCTTCTTCATCCTTCTTTCTTTTTTTCCTTGTTTAAATCTAAAATTTGCGATTAGCAAGGAATTTTAATGGAATGAGCTAAGTAAACCTCTTCTCTTTCTCCTTCTTTTGTCTCTGTAATGCTTTCTGTAAGCTCTCATGTTTCCTTTAAACTCAATCTCTGGCTTCCATTCCTTTAGCCGCAGCAGCTATACCCTCTCGGTCAGTTTAAACCGCGCCATTAACGGCCGCATCCGGAGCTCCGACCTAGACGGAGCACGACAGCTGTTTGATCAGAATCCCGAAACAAGAAACCTGGTCTCCTGGAACTCGATGATCATGGCTTACTTCCGGAAGAACCAGGTCCAACACGCAGAGGAGCTGTTCGACGAAATGCCCCACCGAGACGTTGTTTCCTGGAACACCATGCTCTCTGGGTTTCCCACGCGAACCACCCCCACAGAGTCCACGCCTTCTTTCGCCGGATGATTGGAGTCAGAGAGAGCCCCAATGAGCTCACCTTCGCGGTCGTGATCAGCGCCTTCTTGAGAACAGAGTTCAATGTTCTCGTCCCTCAGCTCCACAGTCGAGTCCTCTGCTCGGGGGTGAAGCTGAATGTCTTCGTTGGGTCTGCCTTGATGAGGGGCTACACCGACTTGGGCAGCTGCGGGAGCTTGGATCGCGTGTTCTCTGAGATTTTCTCCTAGAGAGACGTCGCCCCATGGAACGTGTTGATCTTGGGTTATATGGAGTTCGGGCTCGTGAGTAAAGCTCAAGAAGTGTTTGATCTGATGATGCCCGAGAAGAACTTTGTCACGTGGAGCACCTTGGTTAACGGGTATGTCAAAAACAAGGATCTTGGTAGAGCGCGGCTCGTGTTTGATAAAATGGGAGAGAAAGATGTGGTCACGTGGACGACAATGGTGAAGGGGTATGTTCAGGAAGGAGACTTAGCCGAGGCGTTGGACTTGTTCCTCTTGATGTTGGCCTCTTCAACCCGTCCTAACCAGTTCACGTTTTCCAGCATCTTAGATGCGTGCGCGGGTTGCTCTTCTCTTTCCACGGGCATTCAGGTGCACGCGTGGGTTCTCAAGATGGGAATCCCTCTTGATGTCATTCTCTCAACCTCACTTGTTGACATGTACGCGAAATGTGGCGACATTGAATCCGCTTTCAGGGTGTTTGACGCCATGCAGAGGAAGAACTTGGTTTCGTGGAATTCGATCATCGGGGGATTCGCCAAACACGGCCTTGGAAAGAGGGCGATCAAGGAGTTCGAGAGGATGCTCCAGAGCGGGATGAAGCCCGACGAGATAACCTTCATCAACGCGCTCTCAGCTTGCGTTCACGGAGGAATGGTCGAAGAAGGGGAGAGGATTTTCAAGTCCATGGCGAGGGAGCACAAGGTCGAAGCAGAGATGGAGCATTACGCGTGCATGGTGGATATGTACGGAAGGGCGGGGGAGCTTGATAAAGCGGGGGCTTTGATAAAAGAGGGGATGCCTTTTGAGGCAGACGTGGTCGTGTGGGGTGCGTTCCTTGAGGGATGTGGCCTGCACTCTTGCCCCAAGGGGCGAGAGGTTGCAGCGAAGCAAATGATCAAATTAGAAAGAGATCACCCGGCAGCCCACTCGGCTTTGTCGTTGTCTACGAACATACTCCCCATTGGTGAAAAGGGGGAAATCGAAGCTTGGCGTGCCAAAAAGCAAAAGGCCGGTAGTTGGGTTGAACTCTAGCTAGCTGTTATTTGCCCCTCGGGGGACACATAAAAGTAGGGTCCTGGAGAGTGAGCGTACGAAGAGACGACTTTGCCATTTCTTGTGGGATAACATTTTGAATTGGCCAACAAAGTCCCACTCCCTTCTTTGAAACATGGATTAACTTTCAAGACTCTGTAAGCATTCTCAAATTTTTTTTTCACAACCTTTTTTTGTTGGCTTTAATGTGTTATTATGGTGTCCCCTTGTTCATTATTGTGTTCTAAACTTGTACAGAGTGCTTCATCTTGTGGATGCAATTAAAAGGGTGGGGTGTATTCGGAGCGGGGCGGGACTAGGGGTTTACCGAGAGTTAGGTGGGGTTAAGAATCGTCAATTTTACGAACGATACACCGGAGCATCCCTGGATCACCCATGACATTGTTTATCATGGAAACCGTATAAAAAAAGTGAATTGCTATTAATTTCAGAATTCGTCTATTTTGGTCGAACGCAATGATAAAATTTCATTCAACAAAAATATAAATTTTGAAATACTTTATTATTTGTTGTAAACTTCTAGGGTATAATAATTTGTATAAATTCGGCCGTTAGAGCATTTGCCACGGGGGGCTGATTCCGCACCTTTCCACCCTCAGTCGCGCCGGTCGTCCATTGCAGGAGAAGCGCCGGAGTACCCGCCGTGGCGCTTGCCGCGAGTCCGGCGATGCAAAAGTAGTAGTCCTCCTTCCATTGTTTACTATTCACAAGGTCAAACTTTATTCACTTTATTCGTCTATTTTTGTGTCTTATTTGATACTCCGTAAAATAATATAGTCATGTCACGTCTAGTTTCGTAGATCTTTTCATGTAGTTTTTAAATATGTAATTTTTATTTTTTAATTCTATACCATTTTTCATATAAAATGATTTGAAAATAATTTCAGTCAAACATCGTAACACGCAATGAGAACTTTATTTGTGGACGGAGGGAGTATTTAAAAAATACGTCTACGGACTACAAAATAAGAACATTTCTATATTATTTTACTCCATCCGTCCCAAATTATTTGTCACATTTCTATTACCGAGGCAAAATATCAAGTTTTTTCAATTTATTTTATTTACATATTGGTAAAGAAATACTCCGTAAAAAATAAAAATTACATATCAAAAAACTACATGAAAAGTTGTTCGAAATAAGAGGTGTCACGAATATTTTATTTTATCAAATAACCAATGAAAACATAGAAATAAACAAAAGTTTCCACGACTGCTGAAAAGCAAACGTTGCAAATAATTTGGGACGGAGAGAGTATCAAATAATGAATGAAAAATGTAGTTAAAAAAATTACCATGAAACTAAAATAGTAAGTGTATCTTTAATTATGAGCGGGAGCAAATACAATTTTCTTAAAATTTGATACTAAGAGCTTGTTTGGGAGTGATTAACTTTTGGATAAAGTGATTTTTTCACAAAAGTTGAAAGCAAAAGCACCTCATACTTCCTTCTCTAAAACGGTGTTCTGTGTATAAAATAGTGGTGATGAAAAGCAGAAGTTGACATGTCAAACAAAATAAAATCATTTCCACTCAAAGCAGAAGCTAAATTACTAAGAACAGCGCACTGCCAAACACCCTCTAATTTTAAATAGTTTAAATTGACCAGCACGGCGGCACAATTCGGATTACACAATTTTAAATGAAAAATTGAATGGTGGAGAAACTAAAAAATTGGGATTACACAATTTTCTTTGGTGTACCCCATTTGTCCTCCACCCCCTCCATAACCACAAAAAAGGCAAGAAACTAAAAAAAATTAAATAAATAAAAATAAAATAAAATTGAATGGTGGAGAAAGGGGTGGGGGACAAATGGTAACATTTTTCTTCTAAATAATTTAAATTGACAAAACGTGTCTTGGTTGAAACTTCAAACTTGGAAATTGGAATATACTCCTTCCGTCCCGTTTTAAATTGTTCGTTTTGACTTTAAAGCATATTTAAGGAAGAGAAAAAATAGATTTGATTTTCCGAAATTCATATTACTTTTTAAGAGGGTGTGACGATGAATGATAAGATAAGGTGGAGAAGAGTGACTTATTTTTAGATGTAGTTTAGATATTTTACACTTAAAAGTTTACGATAACAAGAAACACGGAACCTATTTTGGGACGGAAAAAAAAAGCAATTTAAAATGAGACAGAGGGAGTATGTACTCGGTTCTTTTGTAATCATCTAATTTAAAATTTTAAATTTTAAATTTGACAAAATAAATTTTAATACTTTCTCCGTCACAAAGTGTTTGCCAGCTTTCTTTTTCAACAATCACAAGAATTTTGTTTATTTGTACGCTTTCATTAGTTATTTGATAAACAAAATATTCTTGGCAAATCTTATTTCGAAAAAATTTCATGTAGTTTTTAGACATGTAAATTTTATTTTTTATTTCTACACTAATATACAAATAAAATGAATTGACAAAACTTGATATTTTGCCTCGATTATCGAAATATGGTAAACACTTAGAGACGGAGGGAGTAATTAAGTACTCTCAATTTGCATTGCATGTTAATAAAATTAAAATTTTAAAGTCCTCAATAATATAAATTTTATGATATCATTTTTAATTTTTATACTCCCTTCGTCCTAAAATTAATTTTCCGATTTGACTTTCGTGGTCAAATTTTTTAAAATTTAGTCGCATATTACCAAAATATACATTGAATTTTTGTATAAATTTAAAAACAATAGATTTATTTTGAAACATAGTTTTGAAATATATTATTTTTATAATATATTTTTGTATACAAATAGAGATATTAATGATTAAAGTATTACATTAGAGACCGTAAAATGTCAAATGAGAAATTATTTTTAAGACATGCGAGCATTAAACATTATATTCAATTCTCAAATCTCAACATATAGTCATATTATAGTGTGTGTTAAAGAATTTCTACATAATTTTTAAATATGTCATACTTTTATTTATATTTCAATTTATTAACAAAATTATTTTAAAAGATAGGAGTATACATTTTTGAAAATGTTAGGGTTACACCAAATATCCTCACTTCCTCCATAACCACAAAAAATGGCATGTAAATTTTAAAAAAATATATAAATAAATAAAAATTAAATAAAAATGATTGGTAAATTATTTTAATATAATTTATTTATGGTGGGTAGACTGAAATGACCGTGAAATTAGCCAATCATCAGCAAGCGCTGCTAAGATTTACAGAGAGAAAGAGAGGCGGTAGTGATGGAGTAGTAGTAAATTAGTAGTTGAATTCCTTCTTCTTCTTCTTCTTCTGGGCAGAAATGGGTAGGGTTTCGAAGCAGCAGCAGAAGAAGAAAGAGCTCTCGCTGTCCGAAGGATCGCTCATTGAGATTTGCACGAGGGAGAAAGGCCTCACCGCCGTCTGGTTCGAGGCCGTCGTTCTCGACCCGAGTCCCCCGCCGCCCTCGCACGCCAGATCCAGCTCCAAGAGGGCCTGCAGAGTCTACGTGGAGTACACCACCCTCCTCTCCGACGACGGCGAGAGCCCGCTGCGGGAGCTCGTCAATCTGGAGTACATCCGGCCCCGCCCTCCTCCCGAGACTGTTGAGGGTTTTGAGCTCTACGACCCCGTCGACGCGTTCTACAAGGACGGCTGGTGGACCGGCGTTGTCACTCAACTTCTGGATTCTAACCGCTATGTTGTCACCTTCAGGAAACCTCCCGACGAGCTTGAATTCGGCTTGTCTGATTTGAGACTCCACCATAGATGGGTCTACGGGAAGTGGGTTCCGCCCAAAAGGAAGGTAGTAAAACAATTTCTTCTTATTCCTTTCCATTTCATTTCCATTCCTGCTCTTTCTCGAAGCTGCATGCAGGACAATGGCTCATTTTGGAAATTATGTGATTAGGGTTATATGATTGTGCAATTAATGGACATTAATCTTTGACAAGTTTGCAAAGTATCCCCTTCAGTAATGAATCTACATTGCAATTTCACCACCCTTTTAAATGCTGACCTGACTAGACCTGACCCAACCCATTTTACTCAATATCCAATCCAAAAAAATATTGAGTTCTGAACTAGTGTTTTGTGACCTGAACCCGAATGTGTCCGAACCCAAAGTGACTTGCGAAAAATGTTCAAACCCAATTGATTCTGAACTCAACCCGTGGAGGTGAGATTTTTCCCAACTGTGATATGCTTTGATATGAAATATGAAGTGATAAAATTCATACTATTTTCATTTTCACTCCATTATCAAAGTACTCCGGAGTATATTTATTGTTTTTTTAAAAAAATATTTGTACGAGCATAGATTAAAAGTTGTACTTTCTCTACAATAATATAGTTTTAATCTCTAATAAGTAATAAACTAATCAAGATTGTGAAACATTATAATATAATAATATAGATTTGTATATCTTTACAATTTATACTGTTTTTTAATGTAAAATGCAAGTCCTAATATATATTTAAATATTTTTTAAAAACCCACTCAACCTAACGGGTCGATCGAATTCGGAAGTATTGAACCAATGAACCAGAACCCAACTTGAGCTGCTTGTTAGATCTAGTTAGACATCAATAAAACCCGGAATGAATTTTGGACACACGCAGCCACATTCAATCTTATACTAGTACTAACTCATTGCTGATTCAGTTTCCCAATGGGTTCAAATGCCGAATGCCTCAGTGACTATTATTTACCTCTAGTATGCATTTTGAGGCATATATTAAAACAATCCAAGTTTTGGATTAATAAAATGAATTGTATAATTGTATTTGGCTATTTGCAATTTCTGTTACTTTGGGCTATGATTCACCATTCATGTTCTTTTATTGTGATTTTTTTGTCAAATTCTCAAAAGAACACAACAGGATTCGGATTTAGTGTGGGGAAAGAGGTAGAAGTCACATTTGACGGAGATGATTATAAGGATGCCTGGTATCCTTCAAAACTCGTCGAGGTCTGTGGTAATGGCTATTTTATGGTTGACTGCATGAGGCCGAATACTGAAATCAAGGAGCAAATAAGAGCAGTTGTTCGTTCCAGTCATATCCGACCATGTCTTCCGCTCCTCAAAAATAGTAAATGCTTTTGTTTGAATGACAAAGTAGAATCATTTTATGATTCTGGCTGGTGGTTTGGAGTGATAAAAGAAGTACTTCCTGACGGTAGGTATGTTGTCGTCTTCCAAAATAAGAAGAAGACTGAGAGGGTGCTCAATCACTCCGAATTAAGACCTCACATTGTTTGGAAAGATGGAAAATGGCATACTTCTCAGGCATGTTCACTTATTTTCCCAACTCAGTCCTCTCTGTTACTAGTAATTAGGGATCACACCGGGTCGGATTGGACTATTATTATTCCAAATAGTACTCATATTTTAAACTTAAATCCAAATCTGGATCTGATTGTGTCAGTCAGATAGGCATCAATCCATATCCAATTTGGATTGGATCCAGATTTGAATCCGGAGCAATCTAATTATCGTCTTTTATGCAATTACCTTTTTCATACATGACTTTCACAAATTATTTTCAAGATTTTTATCTGCCAAAATTCATACAAAACATTGAAAAGTGGTTAATTCTGGATCACAAGTAAGCCACAAGCTCATAAACAATCATTCTAGATATTCATTAAGGGGCCATTTGGTCACTGTTTTGGAGCACCATTTTTCAGTATCATTCCATTTTGAAATCTAACAGCTCAATCTATTTTGGAGGTGTAGAGTTATTTAAGCTACATTAACCCTCTTTCTTAAAATTACCCCCAACTTTCAAAAAAGTACCAACTTTTTTCCTTCCCAAAATTTTCCCCTACCTTTTAAAAAATATCCTTATTAGTTATTATGCATCAAAACCACAGTTAAAAAACATCTGAAATGCAAAGTTTCTAAATAATTGATTAACAACAAATAGGGTCTAAGTCCCTATCCAGTAACAATTAAACTCTAGCGTAAAGCCACAATTTTTTAACAATCCACGATTAACTAGATCCATGGCCATGGTCTCTTGAGGAGACTGGCAAAATGCACCTCTTTTTTCGTAATCATTGAAAGTTCCACTAATAATTCAGGGTGAATCATTATCTCCGTTTTGTACCCTTGAGGATGTGGAAAATTGCTATGGTCTGGATATCCCCCAAAGTGCTGCTACACATGGTAGCGAAGATGCTACTACAAATGAAACATATGGAGAGAAAATCTCCAGATCCTTGAATTCTGATGGAGAAATGAGTGAGCATCCAATTCTTTGGTGGCCTTCAAATGCGTCAGTTTCACCAATAAAAAGGAAACGGCGTCTAGAGCTATCAAAGGAAGGATTTTCTAGTGAATCACTGTCTCTTATCAAATGTAAGAAACAGGCAAATGAATGTAAAACTCCAACTGAGAAAAGCTCGTGTATCATTTCCAGCCCAAACCATTCTTCCTTGGGGAATACAGCTGTAAGTATATTTACTGCAAATATATATATATATATATATATATATATATATATATATATATATATATATATATATATAAACATAGGGATCAGACTGCGTATATCTGACCCCCCTTACCCTGCAATGAGCGGGAGCCTTTGAGGCACTCCACAAGTCAAAATCAACTTGTGGGGTGCAATTGGAGGGGGTGGGGGGGGTGTGTTCGGGTTGGGGCGGGGTGGGGGGGTTTACCGGGGGGTAGGAACCATCAATTTTACGAACGGGACACCGGAGCGGCCCTGGGTCATCCCATGACATTGCCAGGCAATGTCATGGGAACCTTGGTGATATATATTTTAGTACTCCGTATTAGTTTGTTATTACTCTATTAGTTTTAGTTTCCTATTACCCTATTAGTCTCTCGGAGATGCGAGAGGCTTGTGATAGTGGGTGGGGGTAGGGGTAAACCTATTAGTTTTAGTTTCCTATTACTCTATTAGGTTTTTCTACTTGCAGCTGTTTGTGTGCCAGCATTGTGCTTTTCTTACCCTTAATTTGCTCGTTCATTTTATTTAACTTTATTTTTAGCGTGCTATATGTTTTTTGTGTTGATCGAGCAGGGGGTCTCTTGGTACACGCACCCTCCCCAGGCCCTAATTTCGTGGGATTGAATTGGATTGTTGTTGTACCATATTAGTATTGTACTCTACATTGGATTAGGACTCGATTAACTTGCTCATCAAGACTCTTGGGAGTAGTATAAATAAAGTGGATTTATTCATTATTAAAATCATCAATAGTTTTGGAGTTAATTCACATGTGTGTTTGGCAACTTCAAGCACGGACCCTAGACCCTACTCTGCCAAGGGCAAGTAATTTTTTATCTTTACAGCTTTCAGTCATCATCTTTCTTCCCGCCATGCACGTAACGATATGCTACTCCTAACTGTCATGCTGTGCTTCCTCACAATGATTTGTTCTTGTATTGCTAGACCTGATAAAAAACTAAGTTTTGCCTGAAATTATAGCTAAAGTTTTGTTTTCTTTTTTTGAATTCTTCCAACTATTGTTTTTGGATTTTGATCCTTCTCTTTTAAGGTTATTTTCTTCCAGCGGAAGATGCCCCGTAAAGTTGATGAGCAAGGATCCGTATCAGGTCCACATCGAAAGAGAGGGAGGCCACAGAAACGGACAGCCAAGCTACCACAATCTATAGCTCAAGGTATGTGAGGCTGATTTTTTGTTTTGATTTTCCCATCATCCAAAAATTTAGCTCAGTTCCAAAGATGGCCGGCAGGTAAGCTGAAGAGAAAAAAAGTAAGATCATCAAAGACAGTGGTCAGAACTCCCGATGTACTAATTGAATCTCAAATATCAGGTAAGGAATGACACTTTTCTGGTTAGAGTTGAATTTGCTCGCTTCGGTGTCTTATGATTTACAAAAAAACAAATCATAATTCCATTATCTCTTTGTATGAAAAAGGATTTTCTCTTAATGCTGTTGAGGCTCATGGAAAGGAAAATGTGGAATCTGTACCTATGGAGAAGGCTGTTAGCGAAGGTCCCGTACATATGGAGAAGGCTATTAGCAAAGGTCCCATACCTATGGAGAAGGCTATTAGCAAAGGTCCCATACCTATGGAGAAGCCTGTTAGCAAAGGTCCCATACCTATGGAGAAGGCTGTTAGCGAAGGTTCTGTACATATGGAGAAGGCTGTTAGCGAAGGTCCCATACCTGTGGAGAAGGTTGTTTGTGAAGGTCACAACAATGGTTCTGAAGATGATCAGCCTCTCTCCACTTGGGTTGGAAAAGTGCAAACTCGAACTCCTGTTGATGGATCAAGTAAGCCTGTTATTGCTGCTATTGATAATTTCAGCTGGGTGACACTCCGGCCTTGTTTGGGAACAATGTTTTTAGTTAGGGTTTTAGATGTTTTTTTAATGTTGCATATTAACTTCGAAACACTAAGGGCATGTTTGGATAAGGAGATAAAATGAGAGGAACGAAAATATAAAGAAAGTGAGAGGAAAGAAATTGGAGAGAAAATGAAAAGAAAATAATTATTGTTCGGATGAGTGGAAAATGGGAGGAAGAGTAAGTGGAAAGAAAACTTGATGATGTAAAAAAGACATTTTTATCCTTATATAATAATGTGTCAATGTGTAAATATAATGACAAAATAGTAATTATAACACTTGTCTCTCCTACCCCTTCATTTTCTCACCACCTTAGGAGAGAATTTCTCTCTTCCCCACTAAGCCCTTTTTTCTTCCCTCTTCATTTTCTCTTTAATCCAAAGGGGAGAAAAAGCATTGGAGAATGAGTTTTCCTCCTCCCCCCAATTTCCTCTCTCAAAACTCTCTCCATCCAAACATAGGGTAAAGCTAAACACGGAAGATGTTGCCAAACGGGCACTGCATTTTGTTGTTGTTATTGTTATTACAGGACTTGCACAACCCCACCAGAGCTTGCCTTTTGTGAAGAAAGACGCACTCATATGGGACATATTAGAATCCAGAGAAGCCTTTCGGAAAATTCCTCAGAACCCTCATTTTCAGCCGCTCCAAAACAGTGAAGATTTTCGTCGCGAAACTCTGGCTATCTTCTACATGTGTACTTTTGCGGATCTAGTAGACAAGGCTTGCAACTTGAAGCTTGACGAACCCAGAAACACCATTGACAAAATGTTTGACACACTAGTTGAGCTGGAGTCCCATGGGTTCAGTGTTGAGCCGATACGCAGCCGCTTGAAGGAGATCCTGTCATACAAAGAAAAACATGAAAATCTGCAAGTCTCGTACGCTGGGACCAGCACCGAAATGGAGAAGCAGAGCGCGCTCAAAGCGGACCTGATGAAGCAAAAAGCCGAGCTTGAGAAATCCCTTTCCCAGGTGGTGTCCAAGTTGGAGTCAAAGGAACAGGACATAGCTTCTCTGCAGTCCAGTATGGATGAGATGAACGAGAAACTCGGACATTTGAACCGGGATTATGAAGCTTTGATTTGCAAACCATTTGAACCGCCCGTACAAAACGTGTAGGCCTAGGGGTGGTGGGGGGGGGGTGACCCTAGGGCTATAGATGGGTTGATCCCCAGTTTTTGTATGTTAATTATGTAGAAAACTGCTCTTATGGCTTAGCTCTAATGACCACTTCCTAGTTTTGAGACCAAAACCCATCTAGTTTCACGTGCATTGATAGTGTTTTCATTGGGGCTCTTTGTTTGTACTTGTAAAATTATTACTCTATTATCGGTGTCGAGTAGGGACGGTTCTGGTCTAGTTCCGGACCGGTTCTAGATTAAATTTTTTAATTTTATTTTGAAAAATTGTTAGTTTGTACACATTTAACTCCATATTTTTTTGTTTGTAAATCTCGCGAGTTAACCTTAAGCTAATTAAAAACTACGTAGTATTAAAAACAAAAACAAAAAACCAGCACCAGTTTCGATAGCTAAATTTGAGAACTGGAACATTTCCTCGGGAATTCTGGGACATTTTGGTTCCAAACCGGAACCGTGTCCAACCCTTAGAACGGTGTTGATTCTTTATTGTTCAATAGGTTGAGAATTTGACACACATGCGAATAAATAAACTCATAAGTAAACGACACATGCTTAGTCAAAACTATAGTCCAAAAATATGAGGATTTGGAATTGGTAGTGCGAAAAATGAATTGGAAAATTCAATTGCATCCAAGTAAATTCCATAGAATTTCAACTCTCTATTCAATTCCAATTCCGTCGTTCTGTGTATCAAATGCACCCTTATTGTTTTCATGATAACATGTCCATTTTTATTTGAACTAAAATACTCCTTCCGTCTCCATTTTGATTACAAAATGGGAATTACGAGGTAAAATCTCATGGTTTTTAAAATCATTTTATTTACAAATTGGTATATGAAAAAAATAAAAATTACATATCAAAAAACTAAATCAAAATTTATACAAAACAAGAGGTGACTAAAATATTTTGTTTTATCAAATAATCAATGAAAACACACAAATAATCAAAAGTAATAAAAAACGGAGTATTATTATCAAAATGGGAACGGAAGTAAGAGTTCAGATTTTCTTTTCCACTTTCTTGCCGTTAGAACTTTGAACGGCGTGTTTAAATTTGCAATGAAGGAGTAGCATTATATAGAACCAATCAACGGATGTGTCAAAGCAGCGGGGATAGCTCAGTTGGGAGAGCGTCAGACTGAAGATCTGAAGGTCGCGTATTCGATCCACGCTCACCGCAATTAACTTCTCGACTTTTTTGTTCTTTCCTCTACATTTACCGCCACACCTTTCCAAAATTTACCATACTTTCAAAAATTCTTATTTTAACTCTTTTACCAACAAAAGTCACTCAGGGTCCGTTTGGTACACGGAATTGATGGAATTGAAATTGAATTGAAATTAAAATTCCATGCGATACAATTCCATAAAATTGAATTCACCAATTCAAATTCATTTTTTGCACTATCAATTCCAAATCCACATAATTTCTGTGCTACCAAACACGAGAGTTTGAATTCCGTGTACCAAACGGGACCTCAACGTTTTTACAATTCTTATAAACCTATCTCTGTTGCAAATATTAAAGAGAATAGAAGAGAAGTCGTGACCGGAAGATGACTTGAAAATGGGCTAAAATATTCTTGTTAAAATATTCTATCAAGTTGATGTATTTTATTGATAGGTTTTGAAATTTAGGTGCTAAAGTGAAAAATTCGTAAGGTGCTGCCGGTTAAATTTACACAGAGAAACTGATGTTTAAAGTCCATCTAATTTGATTCGAAAAAATCAAACTGGACGAATCTACTGAGACGGAAGAAACATCAGAATTACGTCCTTTTGGAAGAGGCATTGAGTTGGATAAAAAAAAGGGGTCAATAGCATTTCGGACCCTTCAAAAGATAGCAAATAATTAGAATGTACCCCTCACCTATCAAAAATGTCAAAATGCACTCACAGAAGTTTAATATTGTTTCATTTACATTCTCCTCCAGTTTTTCAACTTAAAAACAAAGAAAATCCAAAAGAAAAAAAATGTAATTTTATTGTACAAGTAGGATTTGCTTTCCACATTTTATTTTTGATTTTTTTTCAAAATTTTTAAATTTGTTTAAGAAAAAAATGTCTATTTGTACAAGGGTGCATTTTGATTATCTACGACGGAATACATTTTAAGAGTGAAAAATATTCTTTTCTCATTCTTAATTTATATGCTATCACATAGTCCAGGCTATCAAGCTTGTGTAAGTTCGATACCGAATGTATCTAACATTTTCTTGTAGAGTTGTTCCGTGATCCTAAAATCCACATATAAAATGTAGATCTTCTCTTACTTTTCATAGGCCGGCAAGTAGATATTTTCTTAAAATGGCCCAATTGTTTATGACATAAATACACGAAGATCCATAAAATAAGCATGGATCTTAAAATCACGTAATAATTTGCCTTTCTTTGTAAATGCCATTTGACTTGTTAATAGAAACCAAATCTATCCTTTGATTCCTTTTTCACACACAAAAAAGAAAAAAAACTTGATCATCATTATAAGATACAAACAAATGTTTTTTATACATCAAATGAGAATGGAGATGATTTTTGAGCTCCTCCAACTCAGTCTACTGTCACAAAAATAGCCTATTAATATGATGATGGAGATGATGATAATACCTCACTATGATCCTCGCGAATTGCCCGTGCCCAAATCCTCATCATCAGTGCCATCGCTGTAATCCGATCCATGACCGCAATCCAAATCTGAATCCGAACCCAAATTATCTTCGTTATCCCCATTTCCCCGACCAGTTCCCCAACCAATTCCACTCTCTCTTGGAAAATAAGCTGCTGCTTCATCATCATCATCCCCACTGTCTCTTCTCTTATAAGCAACCAGTTCATGATCCACCTTGGCTTTCCTTGGGCTCAACAATACAAGTTCAGCCAACTTCCTTCTAGCCAAATACAAATCGTTCGGTTCAATAAGTTCTCCTCTCTTGTATGCCTCTCTGAGAAAGACAGTGTGCAGTTTCCCTTGGTTTCCCCTGGTTGAAATGTAAAATATCCCTTGGTGCTGAAGGAGAAACTCTTTGAGCTTCTTTGGCAAATCCATGGCCTGCCTAAAATGGGCAATCCTCTCTAGAGTTATCTTCTTTTCCACAGTCAATGACAAGAGCTCATGAATGGTGGCAACGGCTCGCTTCTCCATCCTTTTCTGTGCTTCGAGTGACCTTAAATCATACCCTGAGATATCCTCATATGGAGACCAATAAGGCAATCTCTGCCATTTCCAAACTGCAATTCTGAAGTACTTGCCAATCTTGAAACCAGGAGGGAAATTGATGATAAACGAAAATCGTATGTTCTCAGCGTCCCCTCCCTTTTCTCTGTACTCTTTCTCTCTTGCTTTCTCAATAGAGCATATAGATAACTTCGGGTCCCTCTCTACAATCTCAATGTACTTGTTTCTGGTCTCTTCGGCATCAAACAGTCTGAAATACTGAGGGTTCTTGAGAACTACCGAGTACTCAAAGTCATCGGGCAGCCCAAACGCTTTCCTTGCGATCCGAACATGTTCAAGCCGGAGCCGACCGGTGTTAGAGAGCATGAGAAGCTTCCTCAGCCGGGTGATGGCTTCTGGAATTTGTGCCAGAAGGGCTTTGTTTTCTTGATCCATCTGCATGTGGGCTTTTCTAGCAAACCTGCAATAGAGAATCCGCTGGACCGGGTGTTCGAATACCTCAAAAACATGAGGGAACTTGAGGATGAATCTGCCAGCTTCGAACTGCTTGAACCCGATCCGGCACGCAAGGGTGTCCAAGTGAGAGACCGCGATCATTGAGTTTGGGCGGGTGATGAGTAGGTCTTGGAATTTCAGGACTTTGCGCATTTTCTTCTCCACCTCCATGTACTTGTCAAAGCCATGGTCTCGCACTCGCTGCTGCTTTTTGGGAATGGAAGTAGACTGGGACATGGACCTTGCACAAGTTTGCAGGATCCAAGGGTGAGTTCTGATGGCTTCGGATCGTGTTTTCATAATTTTAGTTGAAATACACATAACAGCTTTCATTTTGAGGCAACAGAAAATGGTCTGATAGTGAATCAGGGTCTATAAGTCTAATTTTTCCCCATTCTTGGATAATCGGGCCAAAACGCTACTCCTGGTGAGCACAAAGAAGTGATGGGGTTAAAGAAATTCACACAAACTAAATTATGCAAATGAAAAAATTGGAGATGGGAAAAGAGTGATCATTCTCGGCCATTTTGGTATCATATTTATCCTTTCTATCATAGCATGGATTGCATTGAGATACTCCCTCTGTCCGGATTTAGTTATCTTGTTACTCAGTTACAGGCTACGAAAATTATTCGTCCACTTTGACTAGTTAGTAAACAAAGAATGGCGTATTATCAAAATCACCATTCTACTCCTTCATATAACATGTTATAATCATAAACTCACTTCAAGGATTTATTTGACATTCCACTTTCACTCCTTAAATACGAGATATTTTGTAAACTGGACAACTAAATCCATATTGATGGAGTATATTTTTTAAAGGTTGTAAAATCTACCCATTTTTCACAAGCCCATCTGCATACCTTCCCTTCTTTCCACATAGATGTGACGGTGTAACCCCGAGCTACCAAAGGGGGAGTTTGGAGAGAAGCAAAAAACTTTCTGCACCATTGCTATCGTCTGTCATTTCCGGTGCCACGTCCCAAATTGAGAGCACGGTATGGCCATGCTATAACTTCAGAAACTGTTACGTGACAAAACTAAACATAGCAACCTGTCAAATGACTTGGGAAATGAACTACCACATGCACCTATTTAAGAGGGTGGTGGAGCGGCTTAGTGGTTCTCCTTCGCCTATCTCACCAAGATGCAAAACTCCACCCAACAGAACAACGATGACCCAGTAAAATCCCCCCACCTCTGATGGGGTCTAGGGCTCAAGATGTGAATACTCTTACCCCTATACAAACAGAGAGACTATTTCCTTTAGATACTGGATGCATTACTGTATTTACTATCCAAAACTTCATAGAAAGTGAGATGCGAGGATCAAAACTTTACCGCACAAAAAAAATCAACTCAAAATCCAATGTGTGTATTCAGCATCCAAACCTTTTGAAAATGTTGGCCAGGCTCCTCTACTCTACATAACTACACATTTTTCCGTTTGAGCGATCTTTGAACAACCCTTTGAGGCAAAGAAAGGAAATAAACCATTATCACTCTACTTAAGTAATCACCCAACAACAACAGAGCCTTCTGCTATGCCAAATACAGAGAAGAAAGCCTCAGTCTCAAAC